TATCCACAGCTGCTAAAAACCCTTTATCTCCCCAATGGGGCAAGTGCATGAAGTATGTGATTCAGAAGAGAGATTGGTGGATGAGTAAGTCTGAAGTTCAAGCGTTTACCTCTCGTAGCAGGTTAACAAAACTTGTAAAAGGCTTTGGCAGTTCAGTCGGGGTTTTTAATTGCAGCCAACAAAAAAAGCTCCATGCCCCCTAAAAAAATGTGTGCAGGCTTGTCTTCCCCACAGTCCCTGAAGCAGGGCAGGGAGAGGCTGACCTGAGAGATTTGTTTCTTCTGGACCTGCAGTAAAGTAAGGCATTGAGAGAGATTTTCTGTGGCTCCTGAGAATGTTTCTAATCTACACCAGTGAGCAGGGCAGGAACTTGATGGCTGTACCTGCAGCCACACCCTTGCACAAGGATTCTGTTCTCAGCTGCCCTGGGAGCTGCAGAGCTCTTGGCACCTGCAGCCCAGGGCCTGGGGGCCATGGCACCCACAGGAACAGCAGGACTGGAGCCCCAGCTTGTCTCCAGTGCTGGCTGCAGCATGGCATGGAGGTGAAACGGGCCCTCCTGGTCACGTTGCTGAGGCTGCTCTGGGAGGGGCTGAATTGGAGTGAGAGCTCCCTGGCTTTGGCTCCTGCCCTGCTGTCCCTCACGGTGCATCCTGCTCTGCCAATGTGACTGCACACACAGTCACTCCCTAACCTAGTTCTGTCAGAATGATGCAGGTTAGCTTAGCTATTTTTTTAATATGGGAAAAGTAGCCTCAAGGCCAGGTTCTCTTGCTCAACTTCTATTACAATAATAGCATGCAACATTCATATTGTGCTCTGCTGGAGTGTGTGTGATCAGTTTGTGATTGGACTTAATAGCTCTGTAAATAAAAGAAACACAGAACAAAAAGCATGATAGTCCTCAGAAATCCAGCTGATTCCTGGAAGAGTTAACTCATTTAGAAACCTTTTAGTGGGCCATATTGATTACATGAATGTGTTCAGAGCAGCTGTGGATATTGCAGTAACAATGAACTGAAGCAGTTTATCAGCACATCAATTATTTTACTGGTATAAAAAGGAGCTTTAATTGGACTAATGATGATGGGCTCAGTCTTATGTTGAAGCTATCTGGCTATCACAAAATTATCTCTCAATGAGCTCATTTGTTTTGCAAGGAAGAAGCTCATAATCTCATAGGATGGAAGATGTTTTGGCTATTTATAGTCACTGATTTTATTTGCAGGGGATATCATGACTTCACAAGTGCAGTGGCACTAATCTCCCTGGTAAAGCATTTATCCTAATCTAAAGGGAGCTGTTTGCTACAAAGCCAGCCATGTACTTAAAAGGGCCATTGAACACATTTGAAGCACGGGCAGTGATTTGCCTGTAAAAGCAGCAGGTGAATCGGTATGTCCTGGATGCACAGCAGCCCAGAGCCAGGCTGCTCTGTGACAATGAGGCAGTGAGACAGAGGAGAAGATATTCCTACCCAAAATGGCTGCAGTGCCGAGATGAATTGGGCAACAGCACATGAGCAGCTGAGAACGTGCTGCAGCCTTCTGGCTGCTGGGGACGTGCAGGGATGGGTTTAGGCACTCTCTGTTCAAGAGCAGGCTGCTGTTCTTACACCAAGGACAAGGAGAGAGTTTGCTTTTTCTCAGGTATTTCCTACCCTGTTCCAAACTAGCTAGCCTGAGCTAGCTTTTAGCACTAAGTCATATGGAATTCCTTTTGGCAACTACTGCCAAGGGATGGAAATGCCTCTCTGGTTATGTTTGCAGAGATCACTGAGGACCATGGAGGTAGCTGGAGTATATCTCCAAGAGATCCAACATGTTCCCTACTGAGACAAATGGAGAATAAGTTAATCAGCAAGCAGGGTGGAAGTGGAGTTTCTGCAGAGCTCAGGGCTGAGAGGAGCAGTGAGCCAGCAGAGATCACTGCTGGGCTGGAGGAGGGCACCTGTGACCTGCTGGGACCAGGCTTTGGTTAACAATTCCACAGCTCAAGCCTTCAACAGGATGTGGAGCCAAGCCCAGGACAGGCTGCGGTGCAGGAAACCACGTCAGAGCTGTGAAGGGAGGGAGTGTGGGTGCACAGCACCTGCTGCTTTTACCAGGCACTTCATTCCTTGCTCTGCTGCTGCAGTATCCTCAGCCACCAGCAAGCCCTGGGCTGCAGCTGTGCCTGAAAGGACAGTGCAGCCCCAAGTCTGAATTTATTTTTTTCTCCTCGAAATCTGCAGGAATAGAGTGCACTTCGCTCACTTTCTGCCTGGTCTGCTGAGGCCTGCCCTTCCTGTTTATGGGCTCAGTGATTCCACAAAGATGAACAGATTTGTACACAAGGTACGTGCAGGATAAACTGGGACCACATCAGTGGAAAAGGCCAGATGTGTCTTCCTTTAAATCATAATCCTTCATGTAATATCACACTTAGTTGTCATAGAAACCATGGCATCACTAAGACTTGCAGCTCTTGATCCTGCAAAACAGTTGAACATTTGCTTTTAATATAAAGTATGTGCTTAAATTCCAACTATTTCTGTGGCACTGCTTGTATGCCTAGAACAAAGCCTACACTTTTTTTCCTGTGTGAGAGTGACGTGGCCCAGTAAAACCTCCTGCTTTCTTTAGTTAAGCCCAAACAGTATGCATGTTTCACAATCAGAAAAATTACTAGCACAGGAATGGTCTAAAGAGAGTCCAAACAAAACTTTTAAAAAGATGCGTTGGCAATTGAATGCTTGATTAGATCACATCACTGTCTCTTCTTCTGCAGCCTGAAAAAGCATTAGAATAATGCTTTTCACAACTATTTCCAGCACTTAGGACAATGCACAACTCTTAATTCTACTGATTGTGTAAGGAGAATTATTTTCAATGAGTCTAGAACATACAGAAGTTCAATCACAATTTCTAACAGAAACATTCATGCTCCCAAATTAAATAACCTATTTATTGTAGCTGTTCATGAAGCATTTTGAAAACTCAGTTTCTGATTTAAATGTTTATCACTTTGTTTTAATTTTAAGGTATGTTTTAGCATTCAAAGTACTGAGGAAAGTATGAAAGTATCCCTTGTGTCTCCAAGAAAACAACAAGAAAAGTTTGAAGTTCTGGGAGTTTTAAAACATCTTTTAGCTGGGTCTTTGAGCAGGTGTCCATGTTGAATATTTAATTCTGTTGCAAATGAGTTTGAATGATATTTCACTCATTTACAATAACTACAGTATTTCCCCCCATATCTACAAATGAAATGTTTGGGATGCCTTTTCAGGGACTAAATGTTCCCCTGCAGACAGGGCCTCATTCCAGGCTTGCTGGGCTCAATGGGCAGGTTTCCACTGGAGCTCAGAGGTTTCTTTATCAGAGTTAGGTGGTTTATAGTTCATATTTGATCTCATGATAGACATTGACCAATTTCAGCACTTGATAACTGGGCCTACCCACATCTGTTACAGCTGTTCTACATAAAGTTATACATTTACATTTGTGCCAAGGAAACCTGTTCTGTAGAACTTCAGTAGGTCGAGGTGGTAGTAACTCCACAGTAAATTCAGTGTATTTGTAATGCTTCCTATCAGCAGAAATAAAAAAGCAGCAATATCCCAAAGGCATCAGCTTTTGTGGAAATTAAAGCAGAAGGTTAATAAAAGAGGCTGAGTCAGAACTCTCTTCCAATTCAGGAGATGTTTGTGGACAAATCTTCCTGCTATTTACTGAGCTCCACCAGCTGGTAAATGACTGTGTGTTTCTAAAAGCCCTTCTTGTCAAAAGTTTAAATTTTGTGAATGGAAAAAGGGTTTAGAAATGTTCCTGACTAATCTCTTTGCCTGGAGAAGAAGGTATCAGCATTTGTATGACTACAAAGGTAAATTGATGAGCATGCTGTTGATTCTGCTGATTTCAGAGTACCTGGACCAAAAGAATCTCATCCATAGAAGCATTTTATGAAATAGCATGATTCACACCAAAAACTGAGTAAGAATTCTTAGTAAGTAAGTTCCGCCCGCCGGGCCAGTCCCGAACCCCTGGGCCGGGCCGGGCCGGGAGCGCCCGCGGGGCCCTCAGGGAACCGCCCGCCAGGGGGCGCCGTGCGAGCGCAGCACGGCCGTGAGGGGAGAGCCCGGGACCGAGGGACAGAGGGACACCAGGACAGAAGGATACTGGGCCATGGGGACACCGGGACATGGGGTAGCTCCGGGGCACGGCCGGCACACCGGGAGCGGGCACAGCGGGACCCGGCAGGGGCAGTGCCCCACGCCCGGTGCTGCCCCACACTCCGCTTGCTCCAGCCCCCCTCGGCAATGGAAAACCGCAGCCTTTTCCCTTGGCCTTCCCTGCCGTGCTCTCCTTGGGCCGTCCTTGGGCCACTTTGGTGGCCATTCTTGGCAGCTCTTTTGCCCTATGGCATTGCATCCTCCAGGCAGCAATCCTTCCAGGGTCTCTTATGTCAGAGTGGCAGGAATCTTTGGGACAACATTCAGCTCATGTTTTCCTCTTCCTGGCTTAATTTAACTTTCCTTGCTTCTTCTCTGCATCAGAATGAAATAATCCCTTACACAGTGCTCTCAGCCTGCAGATTTGGGGAGCCAGAGCATAAAGGCAGGCCTGTGCTACAACTCTCTGTACGTTTGGTTACATGATACAACCATGTGCTAAAGAAGGGAGAGGATGATAAAGGTCCTTTAGCTCCTTCCCTCCATCCCTGTTCCTCTCCCCCCATCCCTGTGGGAAGACAGTGTGTTTCTATTTGACGATTCCTTAGTAATAACTGTTTATATGAGACTGGTTCTTCAAGCCAGATAAATCTTCAGATAGTGGACAAGTTAAGACTCTTGTCTAGAAAAAAAAACACCTTGGTGAGTACATTGCCATACTACATTCTTGCAGGTGTCACACAGATGTTGTTCTGAGGTTGCTCAGCTGTGCCTGGAGCTAAAGTGAGTGCAAGCCAGGGCTAGGATTGGGGTGTGTAAAGGAGTGTCCTAATGGACATTGGCTGCATTAGAGAATCTAGCTCTGGAGTTTAATGCTATTAGAAATCACATCAGAAATCTGTCCTCCAAGTCCCACACTCTGCTGTGGTTTTTGATAATTTTCTGCCAAGATCACAGTTGCAGTGTTCTAGGTAAAGACCACAATAGAATGTACCAAGCAGAGTAAATTCTGAAACCAGAGACAGCATCTGCTCTGCCTCCCTGAGCCAAACCAGGCTGTAACTGTGGGTGGAAATATGGAGAATCCTCTGGAAAGTAACAAGTGCGGAGGCATGGGAAGGAACTGGGAAGGTGTGTGTGGGGTGTTATAGAACGGGCCCAAGTGAGATCCGGTGTGATGGTGGTATAAAAATGCAGTCTACAGGAGAGCAGGAATCACTAGGTTTGTGGCTTTATAGATCAAGGACATGATTTTTAAAATTGATTTTTCTGCACCTGTTGGAATTATTTTCTTGTCCTCATTGCTATTCAAATGTCTCTCTCTGTCATCTGATAATTTCATCAATTACAGTCTCTTCTAAATCACACTGAAAATCTTGATCTGAACTCTAACACAACACTACCATGATCCACGTTAAACACATTAAATACCTTTTCCTGCTCAGTTATTTGCTATTTTTATTCCTTATTCACAATTCTTAAGCCAGTTCTCAAATTATGTGGGTGCTGTTATGTCAAAAGAGATGTGAATTAGTTATATTCAGAATTCTGTGATTCAGTCTTCCAAATGTTGGTTTAAAGCCAAGTATGTTGGTTCTGTTACTTTCCTTTTACTCACTGATGTTGTAAATCTGTATGAAGTTCCCTTCCTTGTAAACTCCAGGGCACATATAACTGTTTGAATCTGTTATCCTTCACTTGTTTCACTACCTTTTTTTATTTTTTTTTGGGGGGGGAGTTGGTTGGTTGGTTTTGTGCTGTTGTTGTTGGGTATTTTTTGGGGTTTTGGGTTGTGTTTTGTTTTTTTTTTTTTTACAGTGTTGTATCTACCAAACTCAATTTTGTCCATATCACATTTTAAATTTAGCAGATGCAGATTATGTAAAAATACTGGGGTTTGGTAGACCTTGACTTGTGGCCTGTGGACACTTGTGATTTCCAAATCAGGAAATGGTTGAAAAGCACTGGTTTGGCTCCCCAGTCTGTCCTTCCCCACATATCAAATGAGGCTGCATCCTGTCACACCTGGTTTGGTGTGGCAAATGCATGCGATCTGTCTTTTCCATGCTAGGCGATGTAGTTGCAGAATCTGGAGCAATAACTATCACCTACCCTGTTCACCTCAGTGTCTGCCAGCTCAGGTGCCCTGTGCTGATATTTTAAATGTAGACAAAGTTAACTTCCTATCAGAATAAGAAATCAAAATGAGCATGGAGGGGCTGAGTATTCAGCTGTGGCTATGGTTGCATCTCAGCCCTAGAGCACTTGAACTGGGGGTCTGGCTGTTCCCTTGCCTCCCAATCCAGGCAGAAATGTATTTAGCAGGACTGAGCTTGGCATCCACTCTCTGCTCCTGAACACCCCTTTTAGGCTCTGAGAGGGCAAGGGAAGATGAGTTTGCTGAGCCCTGCAAGGCTTGTGAGCCTGTGGATCCCAAGGAAAGGGTGTAGGTCGTAGGGAGTCAGGGGAAGGTTGCTCTGCTCTGAACAGTTCCGTGGAACTACTTCTTCCCTCACCCAGCTGAGTTTGGAAAAATGATGCCACATTTTCCTTTTTTCTCTAGCTTGTTTATTTATTTTATCAAATGGAATGCCTCAGATATGGCTGTATGGCTCCTTATTGCTTTCAGAGATGTGTTTTTAATCTGTTTTCAGGAAGCTGTGTGAGCCATTAAGGAGAGAAGTAGGTGTGTTCTCTCACTGTATGCACAAGGAGTTTGGTTTCAGATGTGTATACAAAGAGGATTTTAATCCTCATCTGCAACATTGCAAGACTGTGATTGGCATGGCTTGGCTTTCCTGGGGCACCTTTCTTCTAATAAATGAACTCCACAACTTACATAAACAAGAACATCATTGACCTTGCTTTGCAGACACCATCCAGATTTTGACAGTTCAGAAATATTCACTGTTCAGCCATGGATGTAAGTACAGCCTGAACTACACAAAAATCCACAAACAGTACTGTGATCTCCACCAACAGCCTATTGCTGTTTCCTGTACAGGGCTACAAACACTCCTCAGTGGATAAGCCAAAACTCTCCAAAGAAGGGACCTAAATGACTTCATTGCTGACCACCACAGGGATGGACTCAGAAGAACTGGAATTGAAAACTACTCTGACCAGCCTTGGTGAAGTCATGCAACTTGGTTTTTTTAAAAATGTTAAATTCATGGCCAATGGCCATGGTATTTGAGTGCCTGCAGACATCTCTTTAACACCTATTACTGAACATCTGGGCAACAGTATCCCTCTCTGTCCCAAGCTGCTCTAGGATAGATTGGTTTTGGAATGCCATTCCTGAACTGTTAGAAGGGAAATTGGTGTCTGAGGGCCTAAGCAATCCCTCACCCACTGTACATGATGCTTCTTGAAACTGGCCATTTAATCAGCTTTCATGCACTGATGTTTTTTTCCCAGTGCTTTGAAGGTGAGTTCATTATTGAAGCAATGACACTGGTGCTGTGAGCTCAGAATGATGTGAAAGCCTGGCTTTGGCAAGCAGGACAGCTTGACTTGTATCTTGGTAAAGCAGGATCCTCTTGACTCTTTCTGCCTTTGTCCAAGGTTTCAGGTAAGGTCCCTCTCTTGTCCTCTCTATGGGTGTCAGGTATTATTTGTCTTTTCTAGCCTCAGGTTCTGCTGCTATCTGTGAAAAAGTTCGAGTCTACCTGGGAATCAACTATTATCAAACTGCATCATCCATCAGTAAAATCAATTTACACTTCCTCCCATCTCATTAACTTTATCTTTTACTTTCTCTGTCTGCTGAGGTTCAGGGATACAAAAGATCTGGGCCTTCCCTATTTCTGAAATGGCAGTTCCTTTTTGCTGCCTGACATTTCTTTTGGGAAAGTGACATCAGAATTAAACAGAAAGACCCCTTTCTAAGTGCTAGGCTGTAAATGAGAGATGTGAGATCAAAAAACAAAACTATAAACTACTCTCAGAGAAGCAAATCAGTCCTCTGCTAGGTACACTCAACTGAATGTACAGGAGCTTCATTCAGGGGTGAAGCTGGAAATACAGCAGACCTGGAAAAGGCATTCACAGGAAGAAAAGGACTAACACAGACTGAAACTCATCTGTGCTCTGGAGTATCCTTTCTTTAGACAGACAACTATTGCTTTCATCAAAACCCATTCATCCTATATTTTACTTCATTTCCTTCTTAATGGCTCATTCTGAGCTCTTCTTTCCTTCAGTTCCCTTTGTCCCTTGCTGCTGGCCTTCTGTCCTGCCAGGGACATGCCTATCTGATCTGCTGGAAACAGGGCTGGCAGTAAATGCTGAGGGGAAAGACAACTTTGGTCTAAACTGTTTGTCTCCTTATTCCACCCAAGAATGCAGTGAGGAATCTGCTGGGTTTTTTCTGAAAGTTTCAGTTGAAGATTCTTACAAAATTTCCTATATTTAAATAGAAAGGAGGAAAAAGAAACAAAGGTTATGAAGGTATATTATCTTCAAAACAGGGTTTTGGCCAAAGTTCAGCCCCTGGGAGAGGTAACCTAGCTGTGTGATACAGAAAGGTAATTGTGATGTTGAAGATGCAAGTTAGAAAACAATGGTGCTTACAGGCAATATAGATCAAGGAACTTAAGAGCAACTGTACTACTGGAATCTGATAGAATGCTCCTGAGGGCTGTACCAAGATTCATGACCTTTATTAACCTGAGATGTCAGGTCCTGCCCTGTGTACAATCATTTTGGTCTTTGGGAAACTCTGGGCTTTCCTGAATCACCTTATGACCAACATTCATGTCAATGTCCCATGGCAAGTCCTGAAAAAAGAAACAGGATGAGTCACACATGTCTAACAGCTCTTCACACCTCTGAAGCAGCCTCTGAATTCCAGAAGAGGAGACAGCCCCAATGTGTTCTCAAGGTCTTATCACAGAAACTAATTCAGCTTGCACAATGCCTACTAAATACTGAGAAAGGCAGGAGAATTCAGAGGAGTGGTGGCTGTGCAGCTGCCTGCTACTTCTTGAGGCCTGCAACAAAAAGGCAGATTGAGTGAGCTGGGGAAAGTTCTAGAGCAGGTTTGCAGAACACACTTGGCAATTAAACAAATTGTTTGGCCTGCCAGGTGCTCAGAACACAGTGTGGCAGGGTGTCCTCCCAGCCAGCACATCCACACATCCCAGCTGTGCAGCTGCCAGAAAAAGTGTGCTGTCATACTCAGTGGAGAGGGAAGGTAGGTGAGGAGACAAGGAGGATGGAAGAGCAGAGGGAGTGATAGAGGCAGGTCTGGTAGGGTATGACAGAAGGTGCAGTTTGAACTTGCTAAGTCTACTCACCTAACTGCTGCAGTGAGGCATTCCAGGCCAGAATCCTATTGTACAAGGGAAATTGGGCTGAGTCACCAAATTCATTCCTCTGCTGTTTCATGCATCACACCATGCAATGCCTGACAAAGTCTGCTTTGTTTGGTTTTGTCTCTGGGGTTCCCATAGGGAGGCTCTTCCAGGTCCTCCCTTTCTAATAGGTATAGTCATTTTCTGCTGCTTATTTATAGCTAGTTTGTCCCTGTACTGAAACCATCCCTTATCTCTCCAAGTTCTTTGCCCTGCCTGTTGGTGCATTGACACACAACAGTTGTGTCCACTCTGGCTTCACTTTGCAGGCTGTACAGTCTAAGCAATACCTCAGCCTGTCTAGAGGAGCTGAATTGCACTCTTCCATATGACAGCTAAAAAATCCTGTGGACTTTCTGGTATCTTTCATTCAGAGTATTTAACCAGTGTCGATCCTTCCTGAGTCCTTTTGTAGCAAAGCATGTTCTTTGCAGCTCTCTTTGCTGGAAGGGTAGGAATCTCAAGCCCACAAATCAGTCAGACTTCCATATGCTTGGAGCTGGGCATGTGTGTAACTGTTTTTCTGGATCAAGATTAGAGTTCTCACCACTTGACAAGATTCAGCTTGTGGTTTGTGAAGTGCTGCCAGTTTGTCTGGAATTAAAGATCTATAAAAATATCAATTTAAAAAAAGGCAATTCCCTGTTTCAGGTTTATGTGTGCACCTGGTTGGGAAACATGAAGGACACAGCGCAACAACATTGCTTGTATCACACTTCTCACCACGTGAGAGCCACTCCATGTTACCAAAGAGCTGACAACTATCTCTATGCAAAATCGAGGGGAAGGGACAGATAAAGGTGCAGAGATGGTATTTCCAGTGTCAGGAAGGGGCAGCACCCCTTGATCTCTGAATGTAGCAAGTATTCACTTCACCACCGATGCTTTTCATGCATCGTGATGCATTTTCTGGGGATAGAAATGTTGTACAAACAATTATAGGGGAGCTTAAATGGAGTAGTAGCAATTTTTCTTGGCCTCTGTATTGCTGATTTCCAGCCTGCAGTGACTGACAGCAGATTTTATGGGTATGGATCCGCCAGAAACGTCAGGACAGGAATTCCTGGCTTAAGTCGAGTGACCCCCGAGGAGTACTGAAGGACTGACGGGACTCTGAGATGACAAGTGCAAACCC